TTTGCTAAAGTATCGTTTTTGATAGATAATATAGTTAATCTTTCTTGTGACATAATTCATTTTAGATTTTGATTTTATCAACTTTAACTTTTAAAAACTCCTTTGTAAACACTGCATCATTTGGAAAAGAATATTGGTCTTTTATCTAATTTAACATTTCAATTAGAGTGTTTGTTTGGAAACTTAATTCTGAAAATAAATCTGAACCATCAGAAGACTCATCATGTTTTATGTTCAATAATTAATAAGGTTGGTGAAATGATAGAGTAGGAAAAAGGAGGAAAAAACAGAGGTGAGATAAGGATAGAAATTAGAGTTTTAATAGGGAGTGGAAAGAAAAGTTTAAAATAAATTAAAATTTTGGGCCCCTACGCGCTATTGGGTGTGGTCTAATAATAATATAAGAAAATAAAACTTTTAGGGAGGTAATAATATAAGGAAATAATAATTTTCCTTAAAGTTATGAAAAGATGGATGGACATCAATTTTAAAACTAAATTACTCTTTAGTGACCATTTGAGGGTAATTTTGTCAAAGGGTTTTATTTAGGTACTAAAAATAATTAATTATTTGAACATATGAACGGAAACTGTAAACATAATTAAATATGTTGAAGGTTTTATATAATTATATTATAATTTACACTCTCTTCAACAACTTAAGCTTTCGGAGTAAATAGTTATTAACATCGAGGAAGAGGTGAGGGGTGTCGCTCACAGGGCTACAGTAGGAGAGAGGAGATCGCAAGAAGCGGATCAGATCTTGCAGTGAGTTTGTCAGATCTGGGTACGGTGGGATTGTTGTTCACTTAACTTTAATTATTATTATTATTTTTTCTTCATTACTCACACACCCACTTCATTACTCACACCCACTATTTTGTGAATTCTTCAAATCCCATACCCACTCACACACTATTTTGTGAATCACTCAAATCACACACGCTAAGCGTATCAAAACCAAAGGTCTCGAGTTCAAACCTCACCGTCACCCTAATTAAAAAATTGAAAAACACGTGTTGGACTAAAAGAAGGTCACACGTGAGGGGGCGTGTTAAGTTACTCTCAAACAAATTAAGCTTTTGGAGTAGATTGTTAACCATAATATATCAACTTAAGCTTTTAGAGTAAATATTTGTTAACTATAATGTATGAAAGGTTAGGGTTTTAATTATAGTATATTTTATGAGATACACAGTTGAAGCTGATACTTTATCACGTTACACGGTATGAAGATCCATCATTTTTGAATGTTGAATTTAACAAGAGAGAGAGTCAAGAATGGATAATTACCATGAGAGAAACTCAAGAAAAAGAGTAATGCCTTTGAATAGGTGTATATATATGGTCTATGCAAGGGATATGTATAGGTAGACCACTTGCAGAGAAGGGGTAGAAGCTTGAAGGGAAAGTGCAAAATGGGTATTTATGTAATTGAGTTTAAAATGGTCACTGAAGAGCAAAATAGTTTTAGGATTTTAAGGTCACTTTAAAGCTATTATTTTTAGTCACTTAAATCTAATTTTCCTTAAAAAAAATTGGGGTCTAGTTGGCCCTGAGTTATTATGAATAACATTTGAATTAACATACTTGATGGGTTTTGGCAATTTGGCTTTTCAATTTCATTTAATTTTTTTTTTTTAATTTTATTGCAATCACAATATTCTGGAAAATTTTGACTGTGAATGTGTAAGATGGCTTAATTTGAGGATTAATTTTATACACTAAACAAATTTATTTTTGATTGTGCTTTGTTCCTGCTTGAGAAGTAAAGCTAGAACACATAATATGCTTAGTTTTTTCCTTTCTTATGGTGAAGGTGGGTTTTCTGTAGACACAGCTGGAGGGAACTTCATTCCTCATGCAGTGACAATACAAACAGGAGAGGTAATATTAGATTTATTTAGAAAACACTCTCTTGTATCCTAATCTATATCTTCCACTAGTTGTCAAGTTGTTACTACCAGTGTGGGCATTAATGAATGATGATATGTTTGTTATTTTGTAGGACATTGTTGGTAAAATTTTGTCATATGCTCAAAAAGGTTCTCAATCCGTTTGTGTGCTCTCTGCTACTGGCGTCGTTTCTAGCGTAGATATTTGTCAACCTGGTTGTTTCACCAATACATTAAGATACGAGGCATGATCTATTTTTCTCTACCTCTCTATTTTAATTTGATTTTGGTTGAGTTTTGTGCAAGGATAATTTTTTCATATTCACACTTGTGATTGAGTTCTTTTTTCTTTTTTGTTTTACTAGCTACTAGTATTTAATATCACAGAATTTCATCAGTGTGCTGTGAAATGTGAAATGTGATAGACCATCATATTTTGCATTTCCATTTCAGGGTTTCTGTACTTTGCTGGCACATGGAAAACAAAACTCTAATTCATATTATAACTATTTTGTTATTATTATTATTATATTTGATAAGTTGGTTTTAGCACTCTCTTACACTTTTCCTTTAATCCTTCTTCATACAGGGCCGCTTTGATATAATAACTCTTACTGGGTCATATGCTTATAGTGAAACCGGGGGTTTATGTCGCAAAGTCGGTATGTTAAGCGTTTCACTTGCTAAAACTGATGGGGGAGTTTTTGGTGGCGCTGTTACTGGCTCACTAATTGCAGCCGGGCCAATTCAAGTAAGCTTTGTTATTATCTGTACTAGATATAGTCATACATTCTATTTTGTGCGACACCTATCTAGAGCAGCCTCCATAGCTAGGTGAAAACACACTCTATATGTGGGTCAAGTCTAATCCGATTAACGTTATTATACATTAAATTATGTGAGACCACATCTCTTCTACTACTCTTTTTTCTCTTGTTATCCCTTTTTTACTGTTCTGTCCCACCTTTTCATAATTTTCTTCTTCATACTTGTAAACTTTGCTTCCAATTATTTCTTTTCTCTCATGCCTTTACATATATTCTTAACTTCTTTGCACATGTTAACTCCTCTTGTGGTGTGCCTGTTTGGAAGTTACCAAACAAGACGCATCATCATACCTAGTATTTGCAACAACTTTTATGGAAGCCACAAAATAAGATTGTGGAATTTGTTGAAGTTTCTGGTTGCAACACCAGTAGGTTTTTATTTTTGTAAATTTTTTTAAAACTACTTTATTAGATAAAGGTCCTACAATCAATTATAATTTAGGCTCTTCTGTACTTTGAACCTTAAAATCTTTTATCAAAACCTTGGTTGCCTTTTCTTGACCCCCATCCCTTCTTCCCTGCTGCACATACCCTTTTTTTCTCTTCAACCTCATTTCCTTTTACTTCTCTTTTTCTTCACTCTCTAGTTCCCTTTGTCTTATTCAATTTTTTTATTTTTTATTTTGTTAATATAGAGTGTCCTATCGATGTATGTAATAGATATATATAATTCTATACATTCTATGTTCCAAAAGTAAGTTCCCTTTCCTACTTGAACAAGCATGTCAAATTTTTTATGTCTTACCTAACCAGTTTATTTGAAATACCTAAATCCAATGAACGAATATTTAAACCAACAAAATTTTCAAATGCCTTATTATCATTAATAAGCAATACAAGAGTGGGTTGTTACAGCATTCAGCTTGGGTATTGCCCTTAGATTGATTTCTATCATATCCAAGTCTCATGCTGGATTCTTTTCAATTTATCAGCTCATTCTAGCCAGTTTCAAGCAGAGCATCAAGAAGCAAATTCAAAGGAGGCACAATGCCAAATCTTCAACAGCTGCAGGCATGCCTGGTAACTCAGGTACATCAACATCAGATGTCGAAAAGAGCTGTGTGACGCCCACTTCTCCACTCCCAGAACCACCCCATGCAGAAAGGGAGACCATTATCAATGACCAAAACACGAATCATGCTTCCCTTCAGAGTGTTGTTGGGAATGCACGCCTTGTTTCCCCTCAGCGTGTTGATGGGAATGCCTCGCACTCCTCAGAGCCCATCTTGGACAAAAATATGAATCATGCATCTCTTCAGAGTGTTGATGGGAATGGATTGCAGTCCTTTGAGCCCATGTCGAACCAAAATATGAATCATGCTATCCCTCAGAGTGTTGATGGGAATGTCTTGCACTCCTCAGAGCCCATCTTGGACAAAAATATGAATCATGCTTCTCTTCATAGTGTTGATGGGAATGGCTTGCAGTCCTCGGAGCCCATGTCAGACCAAAATATGAATTGTGCTTCTCTTCATAATGTTGATGGGAATGGCTTGCAGTCCTTGGAGCCCATGTCAGACCAAAATATGAATTGTGCTTCCCTTCAGAGTGTTGATGGGAATAGCTTGCACTCCTCAGAGCCCATGTCAGTCCAAAATATGAATTGTGATTCCCTTCAGAGTGTTGATGGGAATGGCTTGCAGTCCTCGGAGCCCATGTCAGACCAAAATATGAATTGTGCTTCCCTTCAGAGGGTTGATGGGAATAGCTTGCACTCCCCAGAGCCCATGTCAGACCAAAATATGAATCATGCTTCTCTTCAGAGTGTTGATGGGAATGACTTGTACTCAGAGCCCATCTTGGACAAAAATATGAATCAGGCTTCTCTTCATAGTGTTGATGGGAATGGCTTGCAGTCTTCGGAGCCCATGTCAGACCAAAATATGAATTGTGCTTCCCTTCAGAGTGTTTATGGGAATAGCTTGCACTCCTCAGAGCCCATGTCAGACCAAAATATGAATCATGTTCCTCTTCAGAGTGTTGACGGGATGTCAGACCAAAATACATCTGACATCAATGGTGGTGTCCCTGATATGTAAAGATAGGGTATGTTCTGTTTTGACTTCTAATTAAAACGATAAAGAGGGGATAATTTTCTCCTCTCTTCATTTTGATTGTTGTAGGGTATGTTCTGTTTTGACTTTTAAATTAAAATGATAAAGAGAGAAATTTCCTCTTTTTCATCTTCTTAGGTGTTATGTTTGAGACTTAAGTAGGTTGAAGGAGGCGAAAAACGGCTAATTTTGCATTGCTTTGTGGTAGTGTAAGACTTCAACAAATATCTTAATACAAATAGATTTATGAGAAATGTTGCATGTTACAAGTGATCCCAATTGTGCTCTTATTGAAAGAATCACAAATCTGAAAAATTCAGAATTGCAGGCGAGTAAGTTCGGCTAATTTACATTTGTTTTTTTATCAGACATTAGCAAATAATTTGTAAGTTTTGGCATCCAGACTTATTTGTCTAACTGCTGCAACTGCCGCAATGACCCCCATTGTCGAGAATACCACAGCAATGGTGGCATTTAACCAGAAAATGGGGCTTTTGTTGGATGGCTTAAATGTCAAGTTGAAGAAAATTACAGGTAGAACAAAGTCAAGTGGCAGGAACCCGAAAGCTCCAATCATTGCATTGATGTCCCCAAAAAATGGAAGCATTGCTGCAACAGTTGTTGCTACGATAACAGATAGTGACCGGAAGATCACCCTTGGGACTACATTCCGAGCAGAGAATTCACCACAGGTAGGGTCTGCGAACATTCCTTCAAGAACTTCGTTTGTGGGCTGCAAATAAACCTGCAAGTAACGAGCATTAGCCGAACATGCCTGTTAAAGAAACTAGTAATGTGCTAGCGAGGGAGACATGGTCATACCACGGCAACGGCTGATAGTTGGAGAATAGTGAAGGCGTTGGTCATCAGAATAAACCATTTTGGCACCAAAGGCTTGTCATCATCCAAGAAATTGCTAAGGATGAGACCTTCAGCTTTGTTGCCAAATGCCCAGTAGCCAGAAATGGCCACACTGAAGAATGTTACTGTCACTATTGTATAACAAACAGCGAGTCCCTTGAACATCTTCCCCTTCACCGGAGGCGCCAAAGTCGCCTATAATTATATAACAGTTATAAGCTGAATGACGTTCTGGATAGATAATTATAAGGATCGTGATACAACATCCGAAAGTCAAACACGGGAATAATGTCATTCTCCATACATAAAACAGTCGGATTTGTCGTACAAACCTGGATTTCGGGAATGATCCCATTTCCGAATGTTGTGGCAATGATGGCAATTGCATTGAAGATGCCAAAAATGCGAGTTTCACTGTCACTGCTTAGGGAATAGTCCTTTTCTGGTGCCTTGGATGAATTTCCTATGAAAAATAATCGATTGTTCATAGAATTTTTTTTATTTATTTATTATTATTATTTTCTCTATAAAGTGAATATATTGTTATTGAAATAAATTGATTTAGAATGTCATAGTTGGTACCTATGTAAATGGAACCAGCAGTGGCACAAGTGCTGTATAAGAGACAGAGTACTAAAGAAACCAAGTTGATGTGCCTGAGCGAGTGAAAAGATGGTATTTGGGCAAGAATCAACATGAAGCATCCAAATATTATTACAAATTCATAGAGCTTAATACTTCCGTTAGGACTCGAGAGCAAGTAGATTGCCTGCAAAACAAATAATTATAAGGTCAAGGTTTCGAGACCGATAAAAAATAAATAAATAATTCTCTAAAATTAAACTTTAACCAAATTACATACACTACATGTATTATTATCTTGACAAGAAATTCATACACCTACTTTTGCCTATTTTGCAATCTGCATGGTCAATGTACCAAAGCCTTTTTGGGAGAGAAATGAATCAAATTAAAGTATGATTTATTTTTTTATTATTATTATTTTTGTAAGATGAAGAAAAAGAAAAAAAGGAAAATGAGGAAGAAGAAAGATTAGGAAAATGACCTTCATGCACTGTCCTCCCAAAAGAGTGCAACCGACAACTGCACCATAGCAGACCATGAACTGAATTGGGCCCACATAAAACCGGCCCCATCTCGGCCCTGCCAAATGCCAATCCCAATTTGCTAAATTGCTAACCAGTTTGGAAATTTGGATCCCAAGAGCATTATATAAAAAAACAAAAAACCATTTTGTGAAGCCAAAAAAAAAAAAAAAAAAAAAAAGGATTTTAGGATCAAAATATATGGCCCATTTGGATTCTTTGTGGAATTCTGTATATCACACAGTAAATTTACTTTTTCAAACATTAGACTTCAAATTGATACATTGCTTCTTAAAGTTATTGCAGGACACAATCATTTTCAACTTTCTGTTTTTTCAATGACCGAATATACCCATGAAAAATAGTGTTTTGGATAAAAAGACTATTCAATAGTTGGGATATTTCATATGAGTTGCTTTGATTCAATAATTGGTGTGTTTTGGATAAACAAGACTATTCAATAGTTGGAATATTTCATGAGTTGCTTTGATTTAATAATTGGTGATGTCCGCCACACTTAATACCCTCTTTCATTCCACATGCATCAAATAATTAAAAAAATTTAAATTTCTGATATCTAAAATATGAGGTTGATACTTTTATTATTACAATTCACATTACACCAATATTAATTTAAATATATGGATTTTATCTAATCGCTGATGAGTTGTGATACTGGATATGGTGGCATCCAACTCTATCACCACAACCTCCTCGTGCCGCATTTGTCAACCTGCCATTATTTGAATATTTCTGTCATTTTGGTTTTGGTCATGGTCAATATAGCTAACGTGGTCGGTCCATTTCAATATCTCGAGGAAAAAGTTTTATAAACGCATATGCATGGGGCTTCATAGACACGCACATATTGTAGGTTGAAAATCGTGAAATAACAACAAATAAAAAATATTATAAGAATTTTTATGATTTTTGTGTGTGTGTGTGTGTGTGTGTGTGTGTGTGTGAAACTAAGAATTCATGGGATTATTCACAAAAGAAAATAAAATAGTAGAAGTTACATAGACACTAACATTTATAGTTTAGAGATTGAAACGGACAATAAACATTCAGATGTTAGGGAAAATTCCACAATACCCGGGTAATGTAGAAATTTTCAAGCGTGGAGATAACAATTATATATAAGAATTTTTTTTAAGATTTTATAATATGATAGATCGTTTAGAGTTTATTACTTATTATTTTGACATTTCTTTAAGATTTGACATGTGTTCTCAATAGCATCTCTAACATTTTATTTCTGTAGATCGATTAATCAAATTTTATAAAATGACAATTTTAATTACCTTTTCTTTGTATAAAATGAAGGGAGGTAATATTCGCACTTTACTTTTCAGAATTTGCACTACAGTCTTAAATAAAATGGCAATTCTAATCTTAAATTTACAAGTAAATAATTATTACTTTTTAAATGACATACTTGTCCTTTCAGATTTTCTCTCCTTATTTTTAATCTTTAATATTTAAAGTATTTTTTGACAATACAAATAAAATAAAATAAAATAATATTTGAATAATATTTTTTTTCAAGGGACCAAAATTTTTTTTTTTGTTAAGTTGAATAAATTGCCTCTTTTTACCAAACCAAAAAAATAAAAAGTAACCATTAAAAAAATTGTCTCTTTTGACATAAAAAAAAACATCAAAAATATATATTTATTGAAGAAATTGTCTCTATTTTCAAGATCCCAAAAAAAAAAATATACAAAAACGGTTATTTTTATTGAATAAATTATTTATTTTGACTTACCGAAAAAATAAAATTACCTCTACTGACATTAGTAAAAAAAAGTTAATTTTATTGAATAAATATGGATCTCTTTCTATTGTATATATAAAATATATATATATATATATATATATATATATATATATATATATATATTATGGAATAAATTATCCCTTTTGATTGCCAAATATAAAATTATTAATTTGGAATAAATTATTTTCTTTGAGAGGAAAAAAAGTCAAAAACAAAAACAAAGGAAAACAAATAGTAAAGAAAGTAAAAAAAAGTTAAAATTGCATAAAGTGTAATTATGAGATTATAAATTAAGGAATCGTGCATTAATGAATTTAAGAATTTTTTTTGTCATTTAAAAAAAAATAATAATAAATGAAGTGCAATTAGAGAAAAGTAGAGCGTGAATATTTCTCTCTAAAATGAAAATTATAATATAATGATATTATTGATTTTTCGTACTTCAATTCAGCAAATGGATTTAAGGGATATTAAAATAATAAATGTTAAATAGTTTTTTCGGAGTATAATTTATTTAAACTACATATATGATTAACGTAATTTACTCAAAAAATTTTAGTGGTTGGAATTGCCCAAAGGTGCCATAAAAGGCCAAAAAGTGAAATAAGTATCAATAATGTAGACCTTTTGACCTGTTATAGATTGTTTTCATGGCAAGTGGCTACTTTTAGACCATATGTATGAGTACACCATAAAATATATAGAAATAAATATAGTTAGGTTTAGGGTATGGGTATTATTACGTACCCAATATGTCATTGGCCATGTCTCTGAAGCGGAGATGTCTGTGACCCAGCTGAGCATGGTGTTCCAGAACCAGTGATAACAAATTGTAGGAATAGAAGGTCACCAGAGCTCCGATGACCAGGCACAACACTCCGGCGGCCCACCCAAGTGACGCGAAAGCAAATGGCAGGCTCAATAGCGCCGGAGCAACTATTGATGTTGTCAAGTGGTAACCACAGTGCACCCACGACCCTATACACACAGTCACACACTAGTGATTAAAGTTTGAAACACGTGATTTTCATGTTTAATGTCGAAGAGTAATGTTGGAAATCATGAAATCTTTATTGAGATACACTTCACAGTAGCTCATCACTGTGGGTTCATTTAATTCGTAGTGTCACACCATCTAAATTCTGTCAATTTAAATGAATAAAACCTTTTTTTGGGCAATAAAATTAATAAGACTTTGTAGACTGAAATCCGACTAATTTTTATGGTTGCTATTTCAAGTTCATAAATAAATGGTCAAAAATCATGTAAAATTGGTGAAGCTCTAATATAATAATTTTATTAATTTTAATTTACAAGTTTCATGTACTAAGATAACAGCTGTGCTTTCTGCAGTTGCACAACATCAATAGTCAACTCCATTTAGCATTCTCATGGGATGAAATTAAGTAAAAAAATATTTTGAACACATGGACACTGGATAGATATGTCTAGGACTAGAGTTTGAGGTCTTCACATTGAATCCGATTGAGAGTTGAGGCAAATTACTATTAAAATTAGAGTTCATGATCCGGTATCACATTACGTGTTTGATTCGAAGCGGTTTGAGTTATCACCCCAGATAGATAGGTTGACTCCACCCCAATGCATTGTAAGTTCGAATGATAGAAATTATTAAAAGTGTTCCACATCAAATTCGAATATGAGTTAAAATGAGTATAAATGAATTTTCTCATAAAAAAATGTAAAATTTTTATTGGTATGAATTACATAACCGCCTGTTAAATAGAGAATTAATTGCATTCAAATTTTTTTTTTTTTTTTGGAATAGTCTCGAAAGAAATATGTATATATAGATTTGCAAAAGCTGTTCGTATAACACACACAACTTGAAGATTGAGGGCCACACTAACTTGGAAAATCTTGATCACTTGGGCAAGCTAGCTATGTGAATTTTTGCCATGATCATTATATATATATATATATATATACACATTGCTTTTACCAATACATACTAGAAACACACGCATACACACACAGAGATATCACGATGAAGACGATGAAGATGTATGTTGAGTAAAGAAGAAGATGAATATGAACATAAAGAAATCAAATAGAGATTAATACCTTTGGATTTAAGAACAAAGCGAGCACCGGCATCAAGTTCCTTCAAGTGCGAGGCATCATCCTCTGCTTCATGCACTGCTATGGAGCTCGGATGAAGGGCACCCATCCCTCCCTCTCTAAGGAGATGATCAGGAAGAAGAAGATGAAGAAGAAGAAGATTTATACAAATAAAGTATTTATATATTTATATATATAATATCTACTAGTCTGAAAATAAGGTCAACCAGCTCAGCAGTGTCATGTGCCCATTATTTTTGACTCCTCTCATTAAACCGACCAGCTAGTACAACTTAACATTCAACTTTTTTTTCTTTTTCTTTTTCTTTTTCCTTTTTTTTTTTTTTTTTTTGGGTGAATCAAAAAATATATATTTCCCAATTTTGTTTTTTCCTATCCTTAGAAAAGTCCATATTGAACCCTATTTTAAAGTTCGAATCTAAGCTTAAAATTCAAACCTAGCTCTAAAAATGAACTTTGGATTGTAATTTTTTTTTTTTTTAAGTTAACCAAGGTGTTCGAGAAGGCACGAATTTTAAGGGCCCCTCAACAACCTGACTAATTCCTGAGGATTCAGAAAGGCATCTTTCCACTTGGGTCGGGTAAGTCACTGCAGGGGCAGTGAAGACTAGTTACAAAGAACATCCAGTGGGACTCGAACCCCAAACCTTGGGGCTACTAAGCTCTAAAGTTCAGCGAGTAAATCGCTGGGCCACATCCGAAGTGAATACTTTGGATTGTATTGCATCTCCTATCCACAACTAGATACATTCTATGCCATACTTACTGTTAATTTGGAATGAAATTAGGTGTGAGGATGAGAGGTCACAAATAGTGGAAAACAAGAAGGAACCCATTTTGTATGAAAGTTGGAATCTCCTCTCTTTTAGGAGGGTGTGTGTGGTTGCTATATCAATGATAAATGTCAAATCATGGGCGATGGCTGGAGCTTTGTTTTTTTTATTTTTTTGAAAACAAATATCAATAATTCAGAAAAATATACATATTTTTCAATAATTATAAAATTCAGTTACTTATCTGAAAACGATTATTATTATTATTTTTAACCTAGCCTTCATAAAATTGTTTTTTTTTAACTATAACTAAAACTTGTGTATATTTTTCTAATTTTCAGTTCTCTACCAATAGAAAACTATTCTCACAAAATCGAATTAAGTACCCAAGAAATTTAGAACTTCATATTGGTAGTACTTAAAATAGCAGGTAACTTTTGGCTCTTCAAGAGAGAAAAGGAAAGACTTTTTTGGCTCTTTCAGAGACCAGTTTCTCTTAATATTTTGTGATTTAAACCTGATTATTCATTTAAAATAGCAAGTAACTTTTTTATGCAATTGATGTTTGGTGTTATTATCAAACTGTCAAAACAGGCAAATTAATCGGAAAAATATAGTATTCATTCTATTTTAAAAAGAGTGTCTTCTTTTTTAAGAATTGTGACCCTTGCGAATTGAAGAATTACGATTTTCTAAAAAAGTTGTTTTTTTATTTTTTTAGAAACGGAGGGAGTATATCTTTTGAGAATATACAAGGAGATGATTATTTCTCTCCCCCCCCCCCCCCCCTCTGTATGCAATTTAAAGTGACAATTCCATTGGGATGAAAATTTATTTCACAACTAAATTTATGAAATGGCCATTGCATTCCCCAAATTTATTTTATTTATTTATTTATTTATTTTTTCAGAAATCAAGTTCTCAAAAAAACCACTACCACCACCTTCCACCATAACCACCGTCGCCTCCTCCATTGCCTTTCACCACCGTTACCGCCACCGCCACCACCGCCATTATTTTTGCCTTCAGCCACTACACTGCCATCACCTCAACTACTTTCCACCATTGCCACTATCACTATTGCCACCGCCATCACTAACTTCCACCACCACCACCTTCGGCAATTGCAATTTACATTGCCTTTCACCACCGTCACCATTACCGACGAAACTGCAGTCACCACCACCACCTAGACCACCGCTACCACACCGCCACTACCTCCACTGCCTTCCACCACTACTACCTCCATTGCCTTCCACCACCGTTACTTCTACTACCTTCCACCACCACCACCATCACATCACTGCCACTGCCTTCCACAATCATCACTTACCTCACTGATGCCTTCCATCATTATCACCACCGCTACTGCCACCGCCACCTTCCAACACCACCACCTACGCCAATACCACTTTCCACCTTCACCACCATCATTTTTTAAAAAAAAATTATAGAAGAATATTATTTTATTAATTTAATTTATTTGTCACCAAGAGATGTATTTTGGAGAATTTAATATAAATTTATTCCATTTTAGGAAGCACAGACACTTCTATGAAGGAGCCATACCCGTGTCGAATACCGATCAACACTCCTCAAATACGTGTCCGACACTTCATATATGTGTCCATAAATAAAAATTAATTTTATTATTTTGGATACTTTGCTGACACTTCTCGGACACTATGCCCACACTTTCTCGACACTTCTTGGACATTACTAACACAAGTTATGAATAAAGTAGTGAAATAATGATATAAAAATCATAACAATTATGACATAATTTCATTTTCTAATTCATTTCATAACAACTCTTAGTATATAAATTATAAATGAATTAAAGTTTTATAATACTATTACTGAATAAATGTATAAAAATAAAAATTTATATTCATATGTAGCCGTGTTCACGCCGTATCCTTGTCATATTTTTTAAAATTTTGACATGTTGACATATCCGTGTTTTATTGTGTCCGTGCTACATAGATGAAAGATTCCATTCTAAATTTTAAATTGGTCCAACCAAACACTAGAATGGTTATTATTATTTAATTCCTACACATTTTATATTTGTAACCAAACAATAAATATACTATATAACAAGATTTTTGAAAGATAACTATCATATATATATATATATATATATAGTTTTCGTGGTAACTAATTTTTTCATCTCTTTATCCTTTTTATTTTTATTTTTTTTCAAATCTATGGTTCATAAAAAATCATTTTGCAAAAATGTAAAAGCTGAGGACGTTTATAGACTAATTTTTAAAAAATCTGTAACAGCTATTCTAAGCCATTGAATCAACACCCTGCTTTTGGCTTACAAAGAATTTTGTTGTATGAATAGTTTTAATTGATCAAAATGGAAAGAGTGTTGCTAAAAAATATTATCTTTAATATTTTTTTCCTAAATAAATATTATCTCTAAAATTTACCAATAAAAAAAAGTGTCATTGTAAAGACATAAAAAATAAATGAAGAAAAAGAGAAATACCAGATAATATCCGATGAAGTCTGGAATTTTTGGTGATTTTGGTTAAAGTAATTTTTTATCTGTTAATTTTTTTTTTATACAGAAATCATAGTAAATGAATGTATAACATAATTGAGAGAAGATTGGAATCAGAATCCACCATTTCCGTTCATTTGATAGGAGAGTAATTACTTCACAATTTTTTTTATAATTTTTTTTGTTAATCAATTAATGTATAATAGGCGATGAATCTATGAAGATTCTAATCTTCCGGATGCTTTGCAGTCAAGGAGTATAGCACATGCTGTATGTGTGTGTGCGCGCGCGCGCATATACTGCATACACACATTTCCGAGTAGTGTGGCACGCATCTATTGGAAATTTGGAACCGTGCCTTGGGTTGTTAAGAATTTAACTATTGGGATATTTAAAATGTAACAAGTTTTATCAATGGTGTAGGAAAGTTCCTTTTACATGATCTAATTTAAAAAATAAGAATAATTTTGGAGTTTGGACCGTTATTGTTTTTATTATCACTTTCTTAATTTTGTAATTACGAATTATTTATATATTTGTAATTGAATCACATTCACCGATAAGTACACAAGTCTTGTCCATATATATATATATATGTGTGTGCGCGCGCATATATAAATTAAAAAACTATAAAATATTTTATTTGAACTCAACTCCTATTTGTTTTTCCTCGACTAGGGCCAAAAAAACCATATAAGAAGATAAAAATTATTTTTTAATAATAAAATAAAATATCTTCAAGGGGTACCAAAGAGCAAAAGCATTCCTTGCATTAAAACAACAGAGGAAAACCCATCATAAACTATCACCACAAAATTTTTGGGCCTGTTGCAGAAATGAAAATGAGCTTCACTTCTGGGCCAATACCTGATGATCCAATATTTACCCAAATAATGTCTCCCAAAGCCCCAATTTCTTAGTCACAATAGAAACGGGTCCACTCATATCCATTTCCAATCCGAAAAAGAAACTAAACCCTCCCGTATCTTCAGTATTCGCTCCTCTCTCCCCCCTCAACAGAGCGAATACCAAAAACGGTTTCTTTCATCAGAAAATGAAGAAACAAGTTTCGACTTTCGATCGTCTCTACAACGTTTCCGAGAATACGATTGGACTCAAATCATTACTTGGAGTATCCAATTTTAGCTCTCCAACCGTAGGCTTTCAGGTCAGTGAGTCATGCAACTCTGTCTCTCTGAAAATTCACTCTACTTTCTCTTTTTTCCTCTGATTGAATCGCTCTAAACTTGTTTATAGAAATACCCAATATGCGAATCGAACGTCTTTACGTTTTCTTTAGTTTGATAATCTGCTATATGTTTTTTTTTTTTTTAAAAAAAAAAAAAAAATTGGTTGGAGACTCACATTTTTGATCCGATTTTCAAAAAGTGTCTTCACAATAAAGCGGTACTTACCATTAATAAATAACGTGACGCGAACATTTTTCCATCAACAACGCTACACCATTGTATGAATGCTGCATATGCGGTGAAATTCTGTGGTAACTGATAAGTAGTAATAAGCCCAGGAAGGGGATATTACTTGGATGTTCACTTTAATAGTTAGTTACTCCTACCTCTCTTATTCTAAAAAAAATATTACCCAAAAAGCCTCGTATCATTTTGACCATACAAATCCTATATATATATATATAACACTTATTCTTTTCACACAAAAAGACATGAGATTGTGTACATGTAGCTTATCCAGTTTGTAACCTACTAGTGCTTCTTACACTACCCGGAGTTTATGAGACCGCGATGGGCATAGGAGCAAGCAATGCAAGTCCTAAACAATGGAGTGCCACATTGGGCTTCTAGCTTTGACTGAATTAGGCCTATGAGACAGATAGGCTTGTACTTTCTCTTTTGCTTTGGGCCGTTCCTCATGTCTTCTTCTCATTGGCTCTTTGCTTGCACAGA